TTTTTTTTTTTTTTTTTTTTTTTTTTTTTTTTTTTTTTTTTTTTTGTATACTATCCTAGTAGTTTTTTTCTCTATTCATCATGAAATCTACTCCCATTTCGGCTGCCAAATGGCCTTTTTATTTTTATTGTAATTAATTTATTATAAAAATAAAAGGTCATTATTTACAAGTGGGATCCACCGTATTTTTGGCCATATCTAGGTGAAAAATTAACATTTTTTTATTCTGCTTATTTTTACAGCATATTTATGAAAAAAAAATGTCGTGAAAGAAAAATAATAAAAATTTCAACAGCTTTTTTGCCTTCAAAAGTTGGAAAAAATTTTGGCTCTCATATTTTTGAATAAGATTTATATTTTATCTTTTTTTTGAAAAGTACTTAAAGAAATGAACAATTAAAACAGAAAAAAAGGTGAATATCACAATTTTCTAAATAATTTATAAATTTTTATGAAAATTTGTTAAAATTGTGATAATCTACTTTTTTTTCTGTTTTAATTGTTCATTTTTTTAGGTATTTAAAAGAAAAAAAATACCAATAAAATCAACTAGAAATTTCGTTCAAAAAAATTAAAATTAAAATGGTTGATCCCATTTGTAAATATTTACCAAATAAAAAAAATTGATAGTTGTCAGCAATCTTTAGTATCATAAAAAATTCCACATGTAAAAATTTTTTAAATTTATGATCGCGAATTTTTATAAACATTTTTTTTTAATGATTGATTTCAAATTTGTTATAAAAATTTCAAGAATTTTTATATATATACTAATTTCTATATCATAAAAATTAAAGTTTTAAACTCTAATTGCTTTTAAAAACTTTTTCTCCAACTAATTTATTTTGTATTTGTTAATTTGTTTGCTATAATAAAAAAAAAATTATATAATATCACGAAGAGTTTTTATTACCTCAGTATTGTAATCTCCAGCGCGAACAAAATAAGTACCCTTGTTGTAGCCCTCGAGACAATGGGCTGCTGTCAAGACATGCAGAGGAGAGATAACGACTGCGCCGCACCAATGATTTGACCTGCTGTGACCTCTTACTCGTATACTTGCCTTGAAAAAAAATTAAATTATCGCTGCATATATTTACACTACTCTTCTATTAGTTTTTCATTATAATAATAACAATAATAATAATAATAATAATAATAATAATAATAATAATGATAATGATAAGGTCCATAATTTTTTTAAGTACCTGCCACGGATACGAGTCTTTCGGAGCTACTGAACCGCGGACAACCTTAGCAAATATTTCCTCTTCATTATGGAAATCTTCAGCGCGCTTTCCACAGTTACTCGGTAGTATGTCGTTGATATTTACCTCCGTAACCACGCGGTTACTTTCATCCTGGCAAAATAAAAAAATTTACTAAAAAATAAACAGCAAAAAGGAAGGAATGGAGACACAGGAATAATTACATGCGTTTTTGTTGGTACAAAACTTTATTATTCATTTACAAATCATTAAATATTTTACGCCAGTAGGTAGCAATTAATAAACTCAATTAAGGAGCAATATCGTCAATTACCTCTTCGATATTAACTGAAACGTCTTGACAAATCACTCCTACGTCTTCTTCGTGATTGCAATTACTCTGGCCCCATGGACTGTGCTCGCACCGGTGAATTTGCGTTTCATTTCCATAGCAAAATATCTAAAATGAATTATAAGTATTTAAAATAACTAACTTTAATTATAATTTATAATCTATAGTATTAAGAGAATAAGAAAAATTATGTGGCCAGTGTATTTATATGAAAAAATGGGTTTTTATGTATATTATGATACATAATTCAAAAATGACCTTTTATCTTGAAAACTATTGACATTTTTAAAGATATAAGCTCACCCTGACATTGCATTCATCAAGATCGTTCATTTGAGTACCCACATCAATTTTTCATATATTTATATATATTTCATATATGTATATATGAAAAATATATGAAAATGCATGTGGGTACTCAAATGAAAGCTCTTGATGAGTGTAACATCGGGATGAGCTTATATCTTTAAAAATGTCAATAGTTAAGAAAGTACAGGGCAATTTAACATAATTAAGAAATGACCTTTTATCTTGTAAACTATTGACATTTTTAAAGATATAAACTCATCCCGATGTTATACTCATCAAGACCTTTCATTTGAGTACCCACATCAATTTTTCATATATTTATATATATATTATATATATATGTATATATGAAAAATATATCAAAATGCATGTGGGTACTTAAATGAAAGCTCTTGATGAGTGTAACATCAGGATGAGCTTATATTATTAAAAACGCCAATAGTTAAAAAAATACAGTGCAATTTTACAAAATTCATTATTTAATATAGCAAAATTTTATTTTTTTATAGGTAATAAGTCCCGGCAGTCACATAGTGACTGCAAGGTTGCTAGTATTCATAGTTAATAATAAATTAAGATAATTTACTTCGTCAAGCCAGATCGGGCCTTCACCAGGTCCAAAGAAAGACTCTTTTTTAGCAATAGCAGATCCTCCAAAGCCCAATGACCGGCAAATTACTTTAGCAGCAGCATGAGTAAAATCGTCATCGCATACAGTTCCCCACACACCGTGGTGACGTATTTCTACGCGGCCTTCCGATGGACTACTTCCGTTTGCTAGCCTTATCTCAAACGGCGCCTAAAAATAAATTTTTTCCATGAAATTAATTACTTTAATTATCAATCTTGTTATTTTATTTGTAAAAATAAAATTTACATCACAATGAGCTGGACTTTCATCAGACGAATCTGGACAATCAACGACTTCATCGCAAATAAAAGGAGTGGGAATACAAACAGGACTTGTGTCACACTTCCAGTTGCCTTCGGGACAAGTTTCGACGGCTGTTTTGCAGACTACCCCGGCAGTTTCTTCCGGCGAGCAGTTATGAACGCCCCATCCGTCAAAATCGCACTCTCTCAGAGAAGTTTCGTTGCCTCTGCAGGTCAATTGGTCGACCATAAACCGCGTCGATGGATCCATATTCCCGAAAAATCCTCCCAGACGGAGCTCCAGAGCTCCTAATTCGAATCCCAGCTCGCGGCAAATAACTTCAGCGTCTAACATTCCGAAATTATCGTCGCAAACCTGCCCCCAGACACCCATTACTAAAATAATAATAAAATTAATCAATTAAATTAAATACTGAGTTATTTATATTATTAAAATACTCACTTTTAACTTCAACGCGGCCTTCATATTCATTTTCAGAACCACTCAGCCGTATTTCGTAATCCAGTTTTGCTGGATCGCAACTATTTTCATCAGACCTATCCTTGCAGTCGTTTTTTCCGTCACAGACTTGCGTTTGATTGATACATTTTTTATTATTACAAACAAACAGTCCTGTGCAGTCGACGCTCAGATCAATCATCTCGTAATAATCAAAACCACTGGTGGCTTCCAACGCTCCAGTGGATCCTACGTTATTATCACTCAGCAAACACAGATTTTCACTAGTTCTAAACAACCAGTCACCAATCAATCAATTAATTCTCAAGTAAGAAGTAAGTAAATAAATGTAAACTCTAAAGTAAGATTGATAAACTTACTTATGAGAAAATGAACGACAAGTAAATTTAGCTTCTTTGCATCTCAACGCACAAGTCTTCGCCGGAGTATTCAGCCACTTTTCTACTTCGTAACCAGTCAGTCGATGACCTTGTGTTTTCGAGAAAAATTCCAAGTGTTCTGAGCAACGTAATTCATCTCTACCGTTCGTACAATCCTTAAGAAAATTAATAATATTGATTTGATTACTTACTTATTTATTTTATTAATTAATTCACAATTAATTTTAACACTTACTGATTCGCCATCGCAAACCCAGTGTGACGGAATACACTCTTCGGGTAAACATTCAAAATGACCTGCTTTGCAAGTACCACCCATTGGAGAACGTACTGAGCCTACTTGAAAAAAAATAAATAATAGAATATATTACTTTGTAAATTTATACAAGAAAAATTTTGTGTTGAGGATAGTCATATGATAAAATCGATTTTTTAGTGAAATTAAGTGTCATTTCAAAAGTCTTGATATGAATTTGTATACCTTTTCAAGATTTCATATCATTCTCACCGATAATCAATTTATTATGATAAAGTATTTAAGCTGTATTCAAAAATGATCTATCTCTAGATACATAATTAAGAAATGACCTTATATCTTGTCTACTACTAACATTTTTAAAGATATAAGCTCATCCCGACATTACACTCATCATGACCTTTCATTTGAGTACCCACATCAATTTTTCATATATTTATATATATTATATATATGTATATATGAAAAATATATGAAAATGCATGTGGGTACTCAAATGAAAGCTCTTGATGAGTGTAACATCAGGATGAACTTATATCTTTAAAAACGTCAATAGTTGAGAAATTACAGGGCAATTTAACGAAATTCATTATTTAATAAAGCAAAATTTTATTTATTTATAGTTTATAAGTCTCAGCAGTCACATAATGACTGCAAGGTTGCTAGTAATTTATTATTTATTTTTGTAATTACCAGCATGACCACAAGAAGGTATATCACAGGGTTCACGTTCACCCGAGATATCTGTAAAACACCAAGGCTTAGATTCTTCGAAAGGATTTGGATTTCTACAGTAATTATGAGTCTTTAATTTTTCCCTGACTGTGCGATCTACGACCTGTATAAAAGGAGAAAGAAAAAGAAGAAATAAAACAATTAGCCTTTTTATTCAGTAATCTGAGCTTTTAATTCGCGCTTACGTTAACAAGAAGAGGATAAGCTACGGCTGTATGATTCCAGGGTAAACAAGGTTTACCGGATGCTGCTACGCTAGCTTTACCCAGATACTGATGTCCTTTACCGTAAACACAACCTGTAAATATTAAGTCGTTAAATATTGTGATAATGTACTCTGTGCTCTAACCCCGAGTACAAGATAAGCGGTTACATATTGCGGTCTCGAAGTTAATACTCTACGTACTTATGTCGTCGTAAGGTCTTTTACAAATATAAGCGTGACCTTTCATCGAGGCCGCGCAGTCTTCAATGTCCCAGAAAAAGTAATCAGACAAGCAAGTTGAGTCTGGATTATTGTAGCAAGGATATTTTTTCTTCATTATTATACAAACGGGTCGAGATCGATCCTATATCTACGGTCCGGCATCCACCAAATAAAATCCTGATAATCCGTCCAGACGATCGGTTAGCTCTACGCTTCGTAAACAGTCTGAGAGTTTGTTGATGATGGGGAACATGGATGTGTATAATAACTACCGAAAAAGAAACGCTTTGAAAGTATAATCTCACGTTTCCGTGTATTCCATTCAAACGAAATCGTGGAACTCTTTAGGAGAGTTAATGTAACATATATAGAAAAATATACACTCACTCATATGTATGTTTGTGTATAATATTGTATATAGGCAGAGGCATATATGTCTTCTTTTATCGCAGTAGCGGACGCCAATGAAAAGGAATAAAATAAGAATAACTAAAAATAAACATTAAGTCTTATTGATTGCATAAAAATACTATTATTTCATTTCCTTGTTTCATTTCTTCATTTTTTTCATATTTATTATTATTATTTGAGAGAAATTGGCCTGATAAATTTTTATTTGATAAATTTCAAGTGAAAAGACCGGAAATTTATAATGAATTATTTTTACCCAATTGTGTTATTGAGTAAAAATGATTAATTTTAATATTTATAACGATTAGTTGCTCATATTTCAATACTTCACACAGGAAGAAATGATTACTGAGAAGTTAAAATACCATCATCAAATAATATTACTTTTCATAGTAATATAAACTAATTAACTCTTATTATTTAAATCTTTATAATTAAAATGCATGTGTAATAAATACCAATTCGAATGTTAACTTAATAAGTAACATTTACTTTCTTTTACACAACTCCCATGTCAAGGTTAATTATTAGAATGTATTATTTAAATAATCTAATTTTTTAAACTGTTATAAAATAGAAGAGATTGTTCTCTTCAAAAATAATTAATTCACCAGATATTTAAAATTACCAAAAAAAATTCAACAATATTTTATTTCTTCAACAATTCATTATTCGCTTCATTTATTCCATATTTATTTGATACTATTATAATTATATTTATTATCATTATTATTTTTTTATAACCCACCAATTTCCTTAGCAATTGTGTAACTTTAACAAAAATCATAATTATGCCAGCAGAAAAATATTCCATGGCTCAGTGAATACAAATTGGACGTCGACAAAAATAATTACAGTAACAACGATATTAACAATACATCCAATAAATACACAGATATATACTTAAAAATTTTATTACATATAGATATATATTATAAACAGGCATTATACCTTTAGTCCAAGCCTCCCTTTCTTGTCTACCGGATGACAGTTTAAACATCTCTTGTTGTCTTGGCTAATCTTTGTTTCCAATCACGATCCACGTCGTACATTCGTACATATATACTCGTCCTCTATCTTCTTTATATTACTTACCAAACTAATCACACTGTAAGTCACTGACTACACCAACGAGTTCCTGTCTGCTCGTTTGTCTTATTCTCACAAAATAAACACTTTAAATTGTTTTATAAAGCTTATATACAATATACAACATATGTACTGTACAATAATTTCCCTTCGCCTTTACCTTGGACTTATACACTTTATATTACTTGAGTTCCCAGTTAATAAAAGTTCTTTGCTTCACTTTCATCATTTAATTCAACAGCACAATATATTTAATCTCTACCGACAGAAATGTCGCTTAAAATTTGTCGTTTAACTTTAAACTAACGTCTTATATTACGCTGTTACATTACTTCACCCGACGTAGCTTCTTTGCCAATTTCTCGGGACCTCGTCTTTCGCTATATTACGATCTACGTCGCATTTTCGTCTCACACTGCACAAATTATACATAAATTAATAGATTATAAGTTCAACTAAATTCTGAACAATAAATCCAACTCTTAATCTTACAAATAAATTAAAAAATCACCCAATAAAAAATAAAAAAATTAAAAGCATAACTTTCGATAAATAACTCCGTTTAATTTATATTTTATTAGCCGCTGTCCGGTAGACTGTTAACGCTAAATAACTAAAGTTTATACGAAAGATACCTCAACATACTCGTTATTCGCGATATATATTAAATTATTTTCCATTCTCCACCTGTGCGCAGCAATATACACTTAAAAAATAAAAAATAAAAAATACAGTGTTATTTACTCTTTACACCGAGTCGTTACACGTTACACTGTTATGTTGTACGTTTACTTGCTGTCCAATATAATATTATATGTATTTGCACTTACTCACACTTGCTTATTGTCAGATATAGAATATGGATGCATATTGCACGCTCAACATTCAACACTCTACTCACGGTTTGCGAGAAAGGCGATTAACAAGCCTAGAGAACGTTGAGAAAGACGTAAACGCTCTTTTATCTAAGAAGATCATTCACGTTTTGAACATTAAGAGGTTTAATATTGACGGGCACTAAATCTCTGGATCGGTATTCGGTATTTAGTATTTACTTTTGTTTTACAGTTACTTTACAATTTATTGTTTAATAAATTATTATTATTGTTGTTATTGAAGTAATTAAAAAATGATGAGCTAAATGTATGTATTATATATTTTGATTTATTCGCGGAAATCGAATAGAAGCAAACGACTTGACTTGCAAGAGTTGACTGACGTTTAAGAATAAGAGGCCGTTCCTCGATGAGAATTAACCGCAATTACCGGACTAAAATGTGTATACACAGCTACTTACATACTCTTAGTGTGTACATTTATATTTAACGTGTAGTATTTGTTGTGAGTGTAGTATCGGTGTATACACATGTCGGGTTCGGGTATTACATTAATGTAATGTTAATGTATGAGCCAGAGAAAGATAATATGAGGAAAGAAAGACGGAGAAAGATATAATACTTTTGTAGATATAGATACATATATGTATATATGTAATAATAATATGTAAGCTAATGGAGTAATGTATGTGAGCAGATTTAAAATTTTAAAATTTGCGACGAATAAAGTACAAGGCTCTAAAAGCGTTCAACTCGATTGAGAAATAGTGAACGACCGAATAGACTTAGACAGATAAACTTTTTTAAGATAATAGACCTAAACTTGTAACTTGTTATAAATTTATGTAGACACGATACGGTTCATGAGCAGAGGTTTTAAATAAACTTGGAAATGTATGGTAATAAATTTTGGTTTTAAAGAAAAAACCCCGCTTGATTTTCTTGGGAAATTGTTTTTTTTTAGTGTAAGACTCCTGGAGTGAAGAAATAAAAATAAAAATAATGTTACAGACTACAGTTAAATTTTTATTGACTGCCGGGCTATATCTCAATGAAAGTTTTCAATGAACAAAAAGAAAATTTGTATTATGTAAATAGTTGGAGTAGAGTTGCTGAGCTGATGTTTATTGAGGAAAGTTAACCAAACCCAAACAATTTAATAGCTCAGTGAATTCACAAAGACGCGTTTGAGTGTGTATTATATATATATATATTGTATTATTTATTTAACGTTCGGGTATGTTGTAACTTTCAGGTACTGAGTATCAAAGGGACTAATCAGTTTACTATACTGGAATTAACCACTCTCGCATCGGTTATTATATAATAGTAATTAAAAGCGATAACAAAGGGCTCAGATTATTTGGTTTTGAATTGAGGGGTATAATACTAATTAAGGGAAATTTGAAAGTGCGATCATGCAAAAAGTATTTGTTATTTAGATACACTAGATTTCTTGGTAATTTTATTGTTTTCTTTTTTTACAATTTACGTCAGATATTATATTCTCAAGTTCTCAGAAATTGTTTATTTTTTTAATTTATTTCTTAATGAAGTAAAAAATCACTTTTTGTTGAGAAAATTTAATTAAAAGAAGACATCTGTCTTAAGAAGTCTAAATTTTAATCAAACTTAAAAGGAGTGTAAAAATAAAAATGACTTTTTCTGTTTTTTAACAAATTTTCAGAGGGGCTTGTTAAACTTCCTCTTTCCTGGCTTTGAAATTAATAAAGATAAATATAACTGTTTAGAGAAGATATAAAAATATAATAGGATAAAAATGATAGTAGCAGGAGTAGTTATAAATAACAATTACTATCATATCACTGTAATAATATTGAAACAACCGTGAGTACATTAATTTTATTTTAAAAATTTTAACAGCTTCAAATTAAAACATTCTCACCAAATTTAAAAGAGTAAAAATAAATTTTTAAAGACAGTGAAGCTGTCATAAATGAAAAATACGAGTATTAACCCGTTGAAATTCATCATTGTACTATATTTATACAACTCAGATAATATATCACCGGTGATTTATTGAATTATTTTCTTTCTCCAAACTCCAGAAGCCCTTTGCTTAAAATGTTTTTTTTTGGGCACATTAAGTGTAAAGTATTTGTGTATTTTTAGCTTAAAGCAAATACATGTGACCTTGTTCTCAACGGACAGAATTGATGGCTTAAGTGAGACAAATAAATGTAATGGCTTAATGGGAAGTTAAAACGAGGTGTGAGGCGTCATCGATGATTGAATAATAAAAATAATAATTCAACGGCTACTTATCTGATTACTCGAAACTTAAAACACAATGGAATAGATATATTTATGCGGGCACGTCTAGTCATTGATATTAATCGATGTAGTATGATTAAAAGTTTTCGTTTAGTTATAGAACATATATAATATTATATATTACCATTACCGGTTCATGCTCAACTTCCATCCTATTTCTATCACATTAAGTTGATGGCTGTCGGATGGGAACAGGCGCGAGAATTTTCATCGGATCGATACGACTCAGTGGATATTATGCCGGAGACGATCGGCAGATTTTAGATTCATCACAGAGATAGATAGAGATATATTATGCATTATACATGATGCGTTTATATAGGAGGAGTAATTGGTGATTGTGGCGCACCTAAATAATGTACTGTACAATGAAATGTGCAGTGTATATAGAGGACGGGAATTAAACGCTGTTGATGAGAAGAGAAGAGAAGAGAAGAGCATAATAAAGTTAGTTATAGATATGCGAAATGCAAAGCCCTGTACTTGTACTGTCTGGTAACTAACTGC